GCCAATACGTAGTTGCTTAAATTTAGGCGCAATTTCTATGTCGAAAAAATTTCGATTTTCTTTTTTTTATGAAACAAAACACAACGGCAACCATGCATCCCAGCGGACAGTTGTTGACAGACATGTCAACGTTACAAACCTATCTGTGAGTGATTTTCAAATGTGAAATGAATTTCATGTGCCAAGGTGAAGGTAGCGGGCAAATTTTGCTCGATCCCGAACCCTTGAAGGAACTTTTATCAGATAATAGTTTGAAAAATATGTATCGTTCTCAGCTAAACCTGGATCTATTGGGGTCTCTAAAGGCTGGGAGTGCGGCTTTTCCTAGTGGATTAGTATAATGATAATGCGGTCATTGTGTCCTTTGTCATTTGGCTTGTCCTCCCCTGGCGTTCGAAGTTAACAATACCTATGCCGTTTACTAACTAAACAGCACCCACAAAAGATAAAATTTAAGAAATAATTGCCTATAACAGCGATGAGCAACAGGCAGACCGCGGGTCGCTTGCAAACATGCTTATGCGGCCCGCCAAACATTTTTGTCACGAGTTATCGAGTTATGTGACGCTTCATCGAATTTTATGCTTTGCCGAGCGCGAAGACTTTTAAAAAAAACAATTTCTTAGATTTACGGACTTTATTACAAAACTATGTTCGTACACGACAGTTAGTTGTAAAAAGACAAAGTTTGCCGGTTTGCACTACTACTTATACTATTCTCCTATCTCTAATACAGTTAAGTCAGCATAGTGTCATGGGTGCTGATCTCGTAGTATTATACAGGGGCATTACTGTGTAGGAATATATAACTATCGAGTTATGTGACGCATACATATCGAATGTACTGATTTTTCGTCGAATTAACCGAAAACGAACCCTTGGTGAAAGTTGAACAATATCGCGGACGCAGAGTGAGTTTTCTGGAAATCGAAAAGCTCCAATCCATTGAGGAACTGTTGTTGCCTTGCTGTTCATCGATCATCGGAAAATAGAACCCAAATTGTCTATTTTTGCGAGATATTTGTTGACTGGTTCAGACACCCATCGCTGGATCTTCAAGAACGTCTTATAGAAAGGACATGGCCCGGA